AGCAACCTGTGGAGGAAGTGCTGATGGCTGCTTCGGTGACTGTGAGGAGGATTGCGGAGAAGGGGACAAGACCTGAGGGGCTACCGAGGGGGGGGGGTAGCGTGTGACACACCTGACGGGGCTGGACCAGGGGGGGGAGGCTGTACTTGAGGAGGCGGAGGGGGAGTGGGAGTCAGGAAGAGAGGGGGAGGAGGAACCGGGAGACCTCGACAGGGGTACCGGGTGTAGTAGGGGACTGACTCGTCAAAACGGATGTCACGTGAGTCAAAGAACCGGTGAAGGGGAGGGTGGTAAAAGGTGAAGTCAGAGGAGTCCTCGGGGAAACCAAGGAAGACACAGGGAACGGTACGAGGCGAGATCTTGTCCGCGAAGGTGTCGCGAACACGTGCCAAGCAGCCCCAGACACGAAAACGCGACGCAACACCAGGGGACCCAGTCCAAAGACTGGTCGGTGAAGCCCCTGGCCGGGAGACACGTGGCCAGAGGTTCAGCTGGTGAGCGGCGTACCGAACCGCGTAGGGCCACAGAAAACGGGGCACACGGGCGTGAATCAAGGAGGTTCGTGCGATATCCATGACCAAGCCTATGCGGCGCTCAGCAACCCCATTCTGCTGTGGGGACTCTGGAAGCGTCTAGGACTGTCGGATGCCCTGCTCGTGACAGAATCCGGCGAGAACACCGGAGCGAAACTCACCCCTGCGGTCGGAGTGAAGACAACTGACATGACGGCCACGAGTGCCCTCAGCGGCGAGTAACCACCGGATCAGCGTAGAAGTCACGTCGGACTTCTTCGCCATAAGAAAAACGGTGGTGTAGCGAGAGTAGTCGTCAACGACCACCAGAAAGAAACTCTCTCGCTCAGGGCCAGGGCGAGAGGCGGGGCCCCAGACGTCCAAGTGGAGAGTCTCGAAGGGCTCGGTGGCCGGACGAAGGGAGGAGTGAGGGGTGGCGCGCAGCCGACCCTCGACACAAGGGGCGCAAGGTGGTGCAAGTAAAGGCGACAGCGATGGCAAGACTCGCAGGAGGCCTAAGACGAGATGCTGACTAGACATACTGCGCAGACAAGGAATTAACGGGCGACCAAGGCGGTGGTGGTACAGAACGGTGGGGAAGGCAAGCGATCGACACGAGCAAGACGCAGCAACCGGACCAGACGCTGGAAGCTTACTAGACGCATCTACCTGGTGGGAGGCGGCAACCTCGTGAGACGTGGGGACCTGACAGGGGGCAATGGCAGGGGTCGGAGGCAGCTGCTGCTGCTGCTGCTGCTGCCCTCGGGGGCCAGTGTGAAGTGTGTATAGACCAGAGCCCGGCTCAGCCTGAAAGGTGGCCAGGGGCGCGTACGTGTGGTCTACACAGGCCGCAGTGTTCCCAGAAGGCTCAATCCAAACACCCACATGACTGTCCACAAGCGGCCTCACACCCACCAAGTTCCTGGAGAACGAGGGGATGTAAAAGCCGGTCAGGAAACCCGAGGGAGCAGCCGGACACGAAAGCGTAGTAGTGTAGCGAGCAGTGACTGGTCCCGAAGTGGGATCAGCCAGTGCTACAGAGACCGGCGCAGGAAGCGGAGTAAGAGTCGTGTGGTCGCGGAAGAAACAGTGCGAAGCTCCGGAGTCCAGAGTGAAAAACAGTGAAGCGTCCTCTGGAGCAGCACCTGGACTAGTACCTAAGCAAGTACCTACACTAGCAACTGGCACAGGATCAACACTAGCACCTAAGCTAAAAACGCACGAGTAAACAGTGTCAGAAGCACTAGAGTTAACAACAGCATGCATAGCATGAGGAGTTCCTACGAGATCAAGCAACTTAGAAGCAGACATGGCCCACAGAGCGGCACCGTGTGAGTGAACAAGAGGAAGCCAGTCAGACCGTCGACGCCGTAGGCCGCGCGAAGAGTGTCAGTGAGCTGAGCAAAGCACTGACCCGGTGGGTGGCGGCAGTCACAGCGGAAGCCCCTGCGAGTACCTGTTTGGACGATATAGGGGCAAGGAGGGTGGGCGTCACCACGCGTCAGCTGACGCGGTCTTGACCCCTGCTGCTGCTGTGGCTGCTGCGAGAGGAGTGGCTGCTGCTGCTGTCGCTGTCGCTGAGCCAGGTACCAAGCCGCCACTCCAGCACCTGCAGCTGGCAGTCTCGCAGGTGCGCGACTAACCCAAGCGGCACCTCCACCAGCCGCAGTAGGGAAGTCACTCGACGCGGCTCCAGGCGCTGCACCAACTCCTGCACTCCCGCCACCGCCACCCGCAACGCCACCTCCGCCGCCGCCCGCACCCTGGCCGCCCCTCGTGCCACTCCGAGCACTAGACTGCGCAGAAGTCGTAACAGCAGCTGCGGTCACGTCAGTAGCGGCAGTGGCAAGGGAGGCAGTAAAGGTGGGCAGCTGAGGGACAGTGCACCCGTGAAACAGTGGAGGGGGCACAGCGCCAGAGGCGGAGGCTACCGAGCGGAGGTTGCTCTCGACGTCCTTGAGGGCAGACTCAAGGACGTCGATAGTGAGCTCGCTAGGGTGCTTCAGAAGAAGCGCGTCACGAACCGAGGCAAGGCGGTCAGGGAGGCTAGTGGCGATGAAATAGATAGTAATCGCCATGGGGGGGGGGGGGGGGGGGGGGGGAAGCAGTGCAAGCTGTGCGTCAGTGCAGGCAGCGCGGTAGCTAGAATCCAGTGAGCGCAGGTGAGCGATCAAGTCAGCAGAGCGCTCAAACGAGGCGAGGTCAGGAAACAAGAAGGGGAGGAACAGGCGACCAAGAGAGACAGTAGTAGGAGTAGCGTAGCGGGCCTTGATCGCAGTCAGTAACTCACTAGCCGTGCGAACCTGGGTGAAATGGGAGGAGGCTGCTGAGGGCGATGCAGGCCGCAGCGTCGCGTGACTTCCAGGCCGTCAGTGCAGCACGCTGACGTGCAACACGATCTCTGTCCGCAGTGGTGGCGTCAGCGCCTAAGGAATCAAGATTGGGGGGCGCACGGAGGTCACCGGAAGCGTGCACCCACAGGGACTCGTCTGCCTGAACCTGACTCTCTAGGAGACGCTGCGCACGCAGGAGCCAGACAGAGAACTCGAGCGGCCTACCCTCGGCGTCAAAGCGGAGGACTCTAGGCGTCGCCATAGCGGAAGCGTGGAGAAATGACAAGGGAAAATCGCCTAGAAAGCCGTAGTACGGCGCGGCAAGCAGTGCGGCACGTGACGAGAAAGGAGGGACGCAACAAGACAGTCACGGCGCGGCGGAAAGGGCAGGCGCGGCGCGACCGGACGGGCAGGGCGTAGCAGGCGCAACGGACAGAGCGCAACAGGCGCTGACGGGCAGGGCGCAATGGGCGCGGAGGGGCAAGGCGCAACGCGTGCGCGGACGGGTAGAGTGTAACGCGCGCGGACGGGCAGGGCCCAGCGCACGTGCGGACGGGCAAGGCGTAACGCGCGCGGACGAGCAGGGCGTAACGAGCGCGGACAGGCAAGGCGTAACGCGCGTGGATGGGCAGGGTGTAACGCGCGCGGACGAGCAGGGCGTAATGCGCGCAGACAGGCAGGGTGTAACGCGCGTGGACGGGTAGGGTGTAACACGTGTGGACGGGTAGGGCGCAGGGCGCGACGGGCGGGGACGGGACTGGACAGGCGCGACGCGACGGGACGAGACAGGCAGACGCGACGCGACGGGCAAGACGGATGGACGCGACGCGACGGGACGGGACAGACAAACAGACACGACTCGACGGGACGGGACAGACGGACGCGATGCGACGGGACGGGACAGGCAAGCGCGACGCGACGGGACGGAACAGGCAAGCGCGACGCGACAGGACGGGACAGGCAAGCGTGATAGGCGATAGGGGACGGTACGGGTGCAACGGGCTCTAGGGTACGGGACGGGTTCGATGGTAGAGCGCTACGAGCGTTAGGGGGAGGAACGGGATCCCACAGGATCCTAACCTAGGTGATACTATGTCAGTGACTGAATGATGGTAGACTATTGTGGGTTGGGGTACATAAACCTAACCCTAACTGTTGTACCCCATATGACACGCATCACTAAAGGCTACAACATTTGTCAAGCCCTTCCACTTGGTTCTGCAAAGGATCACATACTACATGTCTATTGCAATTGTGCATAGCAGTTTTTGTTCTTGATCATCCAGTGCACCTTTCTCACCAACCCCTTATAGCTGGTTACCACCATCACCTTAGCTCTAGACAGCCGAGGGTAAATTCGTTGGTATGCCCCGGCTTTCAATTCCTGCCCCTCACGGAAGTATATAATATTGCTGCCGCCAAAGAAGCTCTCCACAATGCTGCCCCCTCCCTGCACACTCACAAAACACACACTCCGAGCCAGCATCCTAAACTGCACATCATTGAAACTCAATCCTGCCCACCCCTTTTGAAGATTCTGCATGGTCTGCAACCGTGGATTCTTCCCAAACTGCGTCTGCAGTGCCACATAATCTCCCAAGTCCTTTCCATCTTGTATCACCTGCCCGGGGTCTGTCTCCAGTGACACCCCTGGGTTGTTGTACACCACATAGAAACCAGCCATTAAAAACGAGTTGACGATCCTCAATAGAGTTGGTAAATCTAAATAATTTACCGGTGCGTGGTGCCATTCCTGCTCGTATTTATTCCCGATGACCACCAACCAGGATCCCTTGGGAATCTCCGGCCATACAGGGGGGAACTTTCTGAAGTGCTCGGCAAGAGGGGGCGGCTGCCAGGTTGGCGGGATTTGACCATAATGAATGCCACCAATAAATCCATACCGATCAACTTTGTCCTTCATGCTGTCTCGATGACACGTGGCGTCGTCTGTGTGGTTGGGGCTGAAGTAGTAAAGAGAGGCCAATGAATCCCCCCCGCAGGTGGTGGTGGAGCGAAGGGAGCCGTTGAGATGGTGCCAGTAGGCGAATGGGAGGACGGCAATCAGCTCATACCCAAACTCGCCCTGAAAGAAAATGTCTACCCCATCCTGGCCACCCTGGCCATGCTGACCTTCCTGGTCATCCTGGTTATCCTGGTCATCCTGGCCATTTTGGGATTGGGAAGATGGCTGAGTGGGCTGTAGCTGAATGTGGGGAATGAAGGGCTGTGGTGGATGGCTGGTGTTGGTGCGCCTGTGCTGCTCCGCTGCTTCTCCTGCTGCTGCTTCTGCTGTCACGGCTGCGGTTTCCACTGCTGCGGTTGCTTCTGGCGCTGGGGTGGGGAGGACGGTAGGGTAGGGAAATAAGAACGGTGGAGAGGAATGAGGGGGGGTGAGGTGTAGGAAAGGTTGAAATGGATGGAGGGAAGGGACAGACGACGATCTATACCGTATAGATTCTCTGTCCCGTGATCATAAGTGACGATCAAGTGCTGCAAAGTGATTTAAAACAATCAGCCATTCGGTTGATTCAGTGAACCACTGAATGGCTGAAACGGACCCCAGGACTCCTGGGAGCAGAGAGGAAACGGGAAATGGAGAAGCGGAAAGAAAGAAAGGAGCTACACATTCTTGCTACCCCATGATAAATATTTTGCAGTTAAAGAAGCAGCGATGACGGTCAGCATCAGCCACCAGAGCAATCGCTTCGCGCCTCCGCGGACGAAGCCTCGGCTGATCGAGGCTACTAGCCCCGTCAGCCGCCAGAAAAGATTCCTTCCCTCGGCCCTCTCGTCGCTCTCCGCTCCGAAGAGCGCTGGTTCTAAATTGAGTTCTATTTCAAATGGCCAGGGAGCCATCAGAAGGGCTAGCGGAAAGAAAGTTAGGAGAAAGATAGCCCCCTTCGGAAGGACTAGCGGAAAAGAAAATGGGAGAAGGGGGCGGCTGGGAAGCCGTCAGAGGGGCTAGTAGCGGAAAGAAGATGGCCCTTCTCCTGGGAGAAGACCCTTCTCCCCCGGGGGGCCGCTGGGAAGCCATGGGGGGGGGGACACGGCGCTAAAGTTGAGAATGGCCATTACTAATGTGAGCTACTGTGAGGCGAAAGTTGAGAATCCCCAACAACACCTCGCTTACTACTGTTGGATGGAGAAGCGATGATTGAGAGTGTCCGAAGTTTCTCCAGAAACTGAATGCGTGCAAGGCTTCTGGAAGTTCGACGAATCACGGAAGGCGGGATGCTGCCGCGCCGCGGAAAATTGATGTGCGTGCCCGAACAACTTGATAAACAGGTGCTCGTCTCTCCAGGACTAAACAGTACGTCCTTCTGTAGGCTGTGTGTCTGTTGTGTTTCTCTGCTGTGCGGCTCTGGGCAGTTGGAAACAGAAGGATCAGCGGAATAGCGCGAGATGCTACAGTCGAATTTTGCATTTCTCGCTGCGAATTGTGGCTTGTGCTTCCTCGATTGGGGTAGCTGCATGTCACGTGTGGTGTGGTGAGCTGGCCAATCTCGCTACTGTACAAGTCGATGCTCAGCCTATCACAAAAAATTGCTACTCACAATTAGAAAAATTGTCACTCGCGAACGTTTTGCCCGTGAGTGACTAAATTGAACCTTGTGCTGATTTCGGGTACAGTCACCAAGTTGCGGAAGAAAACATCTACAGTTCGGGTCAACCAGGCCGACCAGACCCAACCCAACCAACCTGGAGCAGGTAACTCGAGCCTGCGAACTCTATCTGTTCTCGCGCGGAGGTCGCCGGTATCTCGCCTAAGAATATGATACCCGGTAATATCGCCCAGCCCACCATCCACCCGCGCAGCAATTGCTTTCACTTTACGTCGAATTTGCAGGGAAAGCAACTGGAAATTCTTAGTTTTCCCGAATCGCCTTTGGGTTGGGCCGGGTTGGGTCGGGGCTACCCGACCTGGTTGACCCGACCCAACCCAACCCTGTTGGGTCGCAACACGTCGTTACTCTCGTTTAGTCTGGTTCAAAATGGTTCATCGTAAAACCGCTCTAAATCGTTTTGAATCGTTTTGCGCCACGACAGTGAACTGTACAACTACGGAAAATGAACGCGCTGACCCCGCCCTTGGGGAGCCAACCAATTCCAAAACGAGGGCAGATGACAAGATCGCGACCCAAGCCCCGAGTGTTGAAATTGGTGTACACATGATGCTCGTTTGACTAACCCAAGGTTGCCTTGTGAAGGGGGCAAGATTGTTCGTTTGCCAAGTGATTTCAAGAATCTCGCAAAGGTTTCGTCAGTTCGCAGCTTGCAAAATAGGATTCGTCAGGTGCTTTTAAGGGAAAAATTTACATTTGTAACAGTTTGACTTCGGTCTCTTCGGTCAACCATGCAGTTTCTGTGGTTCGGATTGGTTAATATCACTGTAACTTGCTCAAAGTGCTTATAACGTAGGTGCAACTTTACGGGAAAAAAACCACGGGTGCAAGGTTTCCATTTAGTACGGGCAAATTCGCGTGCAGGGGCTGGGCATCATGTGTAGTCCCAAGACTTTTCTCCTGAGGAGACGGTTCTGAAGGTCGACCGCCATCGACAAGTGTAGACGAAAGTACAGTACACGACTGATTGGCTTCCATGCTCCAAGATATCTGAAACTTGTGTGTGTACCAATGATCGGGTGTGTTTACACGTCACCAAGGGCCATTTTGGGCCGGATGGCGGGCGGACAAGTCTGGAACCGTGATCGGAGTACCATTCGGAGTTTCAGGCATTGTTCTCGCACCTCCGTGTCTGAACCGATGACATGGCATGAACCACGCTGATTCCGCGTCACTGATACACGACGCGGGCCAGCTTTTCGTGTCGCTAAGTCAACCTACACCCACGTCATCAGTCCACAACCACACTTGCTGATCTTGGCCCCGTCAGCTGGTCCCAGCACAAAAGAAACCCGCCAAAATGGAAAGCCTAGTCAGAGTCGGTTCTGTTCTGTCCCCTTGGGATTATCAGCATCCCTGGAATCTGAATTCTGGACCCCTCGAGTTTGCCTGGCATCTACATTTGCGTGGCTCGGCGAGTCATAACTGAGAATTCATTTACGAGATCACCAGTTCATCAGGCAGTCAGCCATTCGCCTAGACATTGGATTTGCCTCCAGGTTTAGGGGAAACCAGCCTTACGTAAGGAGTATCATTCTTCTTACGGACAAGTAGCGCCGATTAGTCTGCGCTGCACGAAGAACGCAAGCTCGACTTAGATTACCTAATTCCTACTCTATCTAGTGAGCTGCGAGTTCGGCCGAATGGCCCAACAGGTTGTTAGGCACTTAGGCCGTCACATCAGGAGGGCCTGCCAGACTAACGCCGTGCACCCCGTCGCCAGTCCCTGGACTGCCATTGCTCGCCGCGGCTATGCGGTGAGCGAAGTTTCAACGCTTGGTCAATCTCACTGAGCAATCCAATTTCACTGCAGTCGCACTCAGTGCTTGCGACCCTTTTCGCGAATAACGCGACTCACTTTTGCCGTTTATCTCCCTGCTCAGGCTACCAATGACGAAGCCTATGCCTGGATTGAGAAGTCCAAGGGCCGCTCAGACGTCTCTGTAAGTACCGTTTTCCAGCATGGTCTTACTTGTTTGGGAGCAACATCCAATCACCATTCGGCTATTTGTTGGTTATTGTGAATTCTCGTGAATCTATTCCAATCCATCGGCGATTGTAGCAGTGTCGGAATTTGACGATACGTCTCTGTTCCCTTTTTCTTTTTTCTTGCCGGATTTTTTCCGCTTGTCGCAGTGGCCCGCAGTGCTCAACAAGCCTCTTCAAGACATTGACCCCGAAATCTACGACATCATTGAGCACGAAAAGAACCGCCAATGGAAGGTGCGTCATCCTCGCACGTCCAGGCCCGCCAGCTTTTCGAAACCGCTCTTTTCCAAATCCGCGACTAAATTCCCTCAGCCTGAACAACAAAGGGAGAGAGCACAATATTTTTGTTCTTACGAATTATTGCGCGTTTGTTGTTCATCCCGTCGGGCAGGGCCTTGAGCTGATTCCATCGGAGAACTTCACGTCCCAGTCGGTGATGGAGGCTGTGGGGTCCGTCATGACCAACAAGTACAGCGAAGGCTATCCCGGCGCTCGCTACTATGGCGGCAACGAGTGAGTCTCCTCTTTCACCCCTCACGTGAAGCTTGTAGTATACCTCAGAGTCAGCCCATTTCTTTAATCTTGCCAATTTCGAGCATGCGGAACCGGAACCTCAGCGCTTCTTGCATCACATGCTATACCCCATCGCCTCAACTTTCCCCATCCCTGCTTCTCCATCTGTTTCTCTGTTGCCCTAATTCTTCGCCTCGCAGGTTCATCGACATGGCTGAGACTCTCTGTCAGAGGCGCGCTCTCGAGGCATTCCGGCTGGATCCGGCCAAGTGGGGAGGTGATCCTTGTTTCCACGTAGACAAATTCAGTTCATTCTTTGCGTGACGTTGTTGACATGTCCTTGCCAGGTCAGTTCATTCCTCTCCGTGCCTACCATCTCTTTCGAATACTCGCTCACATCAAAGCACCTCTCTTCCCTCTCTTCTTCTTCTTCTTCTGCATCCACCAGTGAACGTGCAGTCGCTGTCCGGGTCGCCCGCCAACTTCCAGGTGTACACGGCGCTGCTGAAGCCGCACGAGCGCATCATGGCGCTGGACCTGCCGCACGGCGGCCACCTGTCGCACGGCTACCAGACGGACACCAAGAAGATCTCCGCCGTCTCCATCTACTTCGAAACCATGCCCTACCGCCTCGACGAGACCACCGGCCTCATTGACTACGACACGGTACGTCCTGTCCGTTTGCGAAATGCTTGACGACTAGACGGCAAGTAGACGGCAAGGTTTGCGTACACTCGCTTATTGCTTCGGCTCATCTGGAATCGTTTCTGAGGTGATTCCGTTCCAACCCCGCCTGTTTCTCCTATTCTAAGCTTCCTCATTTACCTCCTCGTCCGTCTCCTCTGTGCCTCCGGATTCGTCTCCGCGCCCTCTCGCTGTCCCCGCAGTTGGAGAAGACCGCCAAGCTGTTCCGCCCGAAGCTCATCGTGGCGGGCGCCAGCGCGTACTCGCGCCACTACGACTACCCGCGCATGCGCAAGGTGAGAGGCAGTTAGGGGTGAGATGGTAGAGATACCTAGTTCGATTCAGACTTTGTAGGCCTTACGCGAAGGACGCTTCCAAGGCATTGCAGAAGGGAGCGCTCGCGCAACTATTACTCCCCGCGCATCCGCAAGGTGAGAGCGAGTGAGGGCTGTGAAGATTAAGGTACGAATTCCGAGGGCTCGAGGTAAGCAGGGATCTCAGTGCAAGACAGAAGAAGTAATTTGCCATGATTACGCAGTGGTATTCACCATGTACCCTCCGTGCATACCTCCCTCGTCTTCCGCCCGTTTCCCTGATTTCCGGATTCCTCTTTCCAGATCGCGGACCAGCAGCGCGCGGTTCTCCTTGCTGACATGGCGCACATCAGTGGCCTCGTGGCGGCAGGAGTGGTCCCGTCGCCCTTCGACTACGCTGACGTGGTCACCACCACCACTCACAAGTCCCTCCGAGGCCCACGTGGCGCCATGATCTTCTACCGCAAGGGAGTCAAGGAGACCGACAAGAACGGCAAGGAGGTGAGCCTATAGCGAGTGTGAATGTTGCGCATGGAAGAGATGTTGGTGGGGGTTGGGGGGGGGGGGGGGGGGGGGGGGGGAAATTGGGAGGATTAGTCGAGAAGAGAAATTGTGGTGGGGGGCCAAAGAAGTGCGTACGAGGTGACAATCAAATCTACTCAAACAGAGAAGGGTGTTATCAAAGAATGGTCGACTGACTGAGAGTCACTTCGTTTTACAACCGGGGTGACGAAATTCAGGACTCTGATTCCGCTTACAGGCACACGAGCACCTGCTTCTCATTCACTTCCCCCAGCAGTCACATCCAGTCTGTTAGTGCCTACCCTCCCTTTCCATTCTTTAAAATTTAGAACAATATCAGGTCTGTGGCGTTCCTAGTCCTCTGCGGTGGCGGTGTGTGCTACTCATCCATTTCGGCCTCTTTTCTTGCACCACCCTCCTTTGTGTCACTGACTCCCTCACAGATCATGTACGATTTTGAGGACAAGATCAACTTCGCTGTGTTCCCAGGCCACCAAGGCGGCCCCCACAACCACACCATCACTGGCCTTGCTGTCGCCCTCAAGCAGGTGCGTTTTCTGGTAGTGGTCACGAGGCAGTGCAAGCACACAGCATAACATAACCAACCATATCCAGTCTCACGACGGCCATCAAGCATGTTACATTCTCCATGAAAGTGCAACCAGCAATCCTCGTGCCAGAGCAGGGCCAGGGCAGCATCTCGTGCCCTTCCTCGCACAGTCACACCATCGCTTGCCCCGTCGCAGCCCTTGACCATGACTCGTACTTTCACATGCCTCCCACAGTAACTGGCAATGTTGCATTTGATTGGCGTGTGTCTAGTGGTGACATGTCCCTCCCCTCGACGAGTCTTTCACGGTTGTTCCAATGGTGCCATGTTCCTCCCTCTCCCCGGCCCCATGCACGGCAACAGGCAGCCTCAGAGGAGTTCAAGCGGTACCAGCAGCAGGTCATGGCGAACAGCGCTCGCTTCGCCAAGGTACCCACCGCACCGGACTTGACTCTATTTCTCTGCACAGTTGTTTGTTTTTATCCTGTCATAACGGCTCTGCCAGGACGTCCCTACCAACCTCCTACCCGTGCCCCCATGCATCCCCGCCCCCTCTATCTCATCGAAAACTAGCATTCACATGCGCATGTGCACTCCTCACACCTCCTCACATGCACAAAAAAGCACATCAGCAGTTTCCCTGGTTCTGACTCTCGTTTCCACCCTTCCTCCCCTTGCCTCCTCAGGCCCTGCAAGATCGTGGGTATGACCTTGTGTCAGGCGGCACGGACAACCACCTGGTGCTTGTGAACCTCAAAAGCAAGGTATGTCATAGAAAATAGAGTTTGAAAGCTATATATTGAGTACAGAAACCAATCCCTACTTTCCACACTATCCAATCTCAATCCCTGCTTTCACTATCACGCGATACAGTCCTGGTCAATTGAACCTTCTTTCTAGTGATCCCTCCCCAACCCTCCCCTGCTGCCACATGTCCATCAGGGAGTGGACGGGTCGCGAGTTGAGAGGGTGATGGAGCTGGCTCACATCGCAGCCAATAAGAACACAGTGCCCGGGGATGTCTCCGCCATGGTGCCTGGAGGAGTGCGAATGGGTAAGTGCTGCACTTCTAAGTATGGTGCACGAATTCTGCAGTGGAGGCCCCTGGCCCCAATTCAATTCTTCGCTCGTCATGAAACATCCATCCTCAGCTTATGGGAATATGTGGAGGGGGAATCTGAGATGAGAGGCTGTTACTCCACCTTCCAATCCAATGATGCTAAGTATCTCTCGTCCATGCCATTCCGTGCCCTTCTCTCCCCTTACAGGCACACCTGCGCTGACCTCACGAGGGTTCACAGAGGAGGACTTTGAGAAGGTGGCTGATTTCTTTGACCAGGCTGTCAAGATCGCTGTGGAGGCCAAGGCTCTCTCAGGTACATTCCATGCCATGCCATGCTCGTACATGTCATGCCATGCCATGCAATGCCATACCACACATGCCATGCCATGTCATGCCATGCCACGGCACCCCATGCTGTGTCTGGGGTTTGCGTCAGACACGGCACCACATCTCATGCAGCATGATTCGGCCGCATGTGCTCTCTGTTTTTTCGGTCAAGTTTCTGATACACTTGCTGAAAGTGACCCTGTCACTACTTATTGGATTTTTTGCTATTTGCAGGACCTAAGCTGAAGGATTTCCGCACCACAGTGGACACAAATGACAAGATCAAGGAGGCGATTGCAGGGTTGAAGCATAACGTAGAGGAGTTCGCCAAGCAGTTCCCCACAATTGGCTTTGAGAAGGGTACCATGCGGTACACCTCATAGTCTCCTCGTTAAAGGGGGGATTTTGCCCTTTTCCCCATTTTTATTTTCCTCCCATTGTTTACCTTACATGGTGACACCTTGTTACATTTGTTTGTCTTGTGAAAAAACTTGAGTCTAAGCAATCTTCAATATAGTCAACCTAACTATCTGGCTCGAAACAAACTTTGTGGGAACAACTTCGGCTGGGAAAGGGTCCATACCGTACAAGACCCTCCTACTCTGAATAACAGTACCAAAGGTCATAAACACACAGCATTGATGGTATGCAGACTCAATGAGCACTAAAAGTACCGTAATTTGATAACTTCCAAGACCATAACAATCACTTTGATGGGTTCAATGGTGCTGTGCTCCCAATACTGCTTCCACAGCTGCTGCTACCCTGGCTGCTGCTGTGCAAAGAGCTACTGCCCAAAACACCTCCCATCCTATAATTCACGCCAAGTCCTCCCATCCCATGGTTCACACCAAGTCCCTGGAATTTGGCATGTGCACTGGGACTCACATAAACAGCACCACCACAGCTGCTGCTGCTGCCGTGACGAATCTGATCATCTGTGCTGTAGGCCCCAGAACGTCCACACTCCTCACCAGACAAAGCTGCTACTGTAGAGGAAACACCACTAGGTGGTGCTGTGGCTGGTAAAGAAGTGAGCTGATAAAGGGGATGGCGAGGCATGGTGGGTTCCGGAGCGAGGGAGTGAAGAATGGCTTCCAGACGTGAGCACACAGATCCCATACCAGGCCTGCGGTAACCAATCGGGTCTGTGCACGACACGGCCACGTCAGCAAAGTCAGCCAGCTGATGTGGCAAACTGGGCAGCTGACATGGCATGCGTGGATCGAGAATGTCTGCCAGGTGGCCATGGGAGAGCATGCGGCGAGCCCAGTCAGCAAGAGTGGAAACACCAAACGAGTGGTTACTGGAGGCACCCAGAGAAGGATCTTCCAGGAGAAGTTTCGTGGATGCTGCTCCTGCATGTGCTTCCACTGGGATACGAGAGATTTGATCCTCAGCAGATACGATCTCTGAGACTGCCTGCCTTGATTCATGAGGCCAGGTGACTTTCGGTGATGCAGAGCTGTTGTTGCAGGGGAAAGCGGTGGTGAGTACTACATCAGAGCTTGTTATGTGTGGAGGTGTGGCGGTGGTATGGCCAGCGGTTATTGCCGAATGGTCCTCTCCTGAAGGTAAGCGGGGTGGCTCTGCATCAGTGTGCTGGTTTGCAGGGCCCTGGGTAGTGAATTCCAGGCTGCATTGCTCTGTGGCGTAATATGCTGCTTCTGCTGCTCCTCGTTCCACTGCTGCTTCAAATGCTGCAGAGTCTACTGCTGCTGGTGCCTTAGCTGCTGCTGTTGCTGCTGCTTGTTCTGCTTCTCCGGCTGCTGCTGCTGATGCCCCAACAGAAGCGTGAGCTAGCTGTGGCATGGCAGCAAGGGCAGGGGGTGAAAGGTAGAGCAAGGGGCGCTGACCCGTGAGCAGCTCTAGAAGAACCACACCGAAGCTGGTGGGTAGGGGAGGGGGAAAGAGAGAAGGAAAAGCGGCGAGAGGGAGCATGGGTTGAGATGACGAGCATGGGATGCTGGCCTGTGAGCAAAAGATGGCTCGAGGAAAACCGCTTTGAAGCTGGTGGGGAGAGGGGAGGAGGAGAGTAGGGAAGGGGAAGAGAGGGAGCATGGGATGAGATGTAGAGCGAGGGGCGCTGACCTGTGAGCAGATGTAGGAAAATTACTTCAAAGCTGGTGCGGAGAGGAGAGGAGAGGAGAAGGGGAGTAGGGACAGGGGAGAGAGAACGCAGCAGGTAAGGAATTACAGTGAGACAAGAGCGAGATGAAGAGCAAGGGGCGCTGGCCTGTGAGGAGCTCAAGAAGAACCACTCCGAAGCTGGAAAGGGTAGAGGTAGGAGGACGCGTGCAGCTGACCTGATGGCGTCTGTCTTGGTGGAGGCACAGTGCGTTGTGATGAACTCAGAATCCAGATAGCCCTTCGTGCCTGACAGCAGACATTTGGGCCAACTGGCTCTTAACACGAGGCAAGGGCCACTGACCTGTACACGTCAGTCTTGGTGGAGGGATGGTGTGTGGTGACGAACTCAGGGTCCAGATAGCCGCTCGTGCCCGGGAGAGATAGGTCTGGTCTAGACAGGAAAGCAGGGGCAGCTGACCTTGGCACACGAGGAGAGGAGCGGCTCACCCATACACGGGGGGAAATGGAGCACTAACCTGTACACATCCGTCTTGGTGGAGGCACGGTGTGTGGTGAGGAACTCAGGATCCAAATATCCCCTGGTGCCTGACAGCCCATGAGTGAAGAAACTCGCCTCCCCGCCTTCCAGCATGCGGGATAGGCCAAAGTCAGACAGCTTGGGCTGATGGGAGGAAATGGGGTGGTAGGTGAAATGGGAGGTGCACACAGGATGCGTTGATTCTTCACAACAGATTCTGCTGATAACTCGTTTGGTTTCACTACACTACTAAGGTCATTTCCTTTCCCCTGCACCTACCTGCAGGAGTATCTGAGAAGAGTGCCACCTACCTGCAGCTCTGCTGTGAGAAGTATGTTGAGCGACTTGACATCCCTGTGAAGCATGCATTCTCGTGCCTGCAAACCAGGGGAGGAACAGGGTATAAGGCCAAGGTGAATTTTGTATTGACTTAGAAGGACTCAACAGAAGCTGACCTGTTCGTGTATGCAAAGCAGAGCAGTGCGCATGCAACATCGAGGTGCTTTTGAGTCGACTCAAAGGAGGGAAGGTAAGCTGACATGCACGCACAACACAAGCTGACATGCACGCACAACACAAGCTGACATGCACGCACAACACAAGCTGACATGCACGCACAACACAAGCTGACATGCACGCACAACACAAGCTGACATGCACGCACAACACAAGCTGACATACACGCACAACACAAGCTGACATGCACGCACAACACAAGCTGACATGCACGCACAACACAAGCTGACATGCACGCACAACACAAGCTGACATGCACGCACAACACAAGCTGACATGCACGCACAACACAAGCTGACATGCACGCACAACACAAGCTGACATGCACGCACAACACAAGCTGACATGCACGCACAAAACAAGCTGACATGCACGCACAACACAAGCTGACATGCACGCACAACACAAGCTGACATGCACGCACAACACAAGCTGACATGCACGCACAACACAAGCTGACATGCACGCACAACACAAGCTGACCTGCACGCACAACACAAGCTGACCTGCACGCACAACACAAGCTGACCTGCACGCACAACACAAGCTGACCTGTTCGTGTATGTAGTGCAGCGCACGCGCGACACCCAGGGCAATGTGCACACGTTGGAGAAAGGAGAGCGGGGGACGGGAGAGGTCTGTGTGTGCAGGGATGAGGGAGGGGGTGAAGGGGAGGGAAGAGGAGGGATGGAACGAAGAGGAGTGTAGTGTTTCAGAACCTGGGAGGTCCAATGGGGCGGCTCACTCACTTACACCCACACACATCAATCTCACAGCACAGCAATCTCACTGCAATCTCGCTGGCATACTCATCGCACACACTTTCTTCACCTCCAAGCCCACATGCACCATGCAGTGCCGCATAGAGGGTCTTTTTGGGCACAAGCTGCTCCAAAAGCCGAATATCACTTGGCCTCATAGAATTCAGGCGCCAAAAGCTGCTCTCCTTGCTCTGCATGCCATCATGCCATGCGCTCCCATCCCTCCCCCGCATATGCACTTCATATCCAAGGCCACCTGTACCAATCTCACACCACACATACCATGCAGAGCTTCATAGAGGTTGCCATTGGGCACGAACTCATAAACCCATTGGGCACAAACTCGTACACCAGCAGCTGCTCGCCTTGTTCAAAGTCTACCCAGAGCCACTCCACCCACACGCACACACACACAATGCATTCACCTCCAAACCAGCAGCTGCTTCCCCCACACATACCATGCAGAGCTTCATAGAGGTTGCCATTGGGCACGAACTCATAAACCAGCAGCTGCTCCCCTTGCTCCGCACACCACCCTATGAGCGACACCAGGCTGCGGTGATTCAAACGCCAGATGGTGCGCACCTGGTGGGCAGAACCGCATGGAACCACATGGAATCGCATGGAATCGCATTTGAAAGCAGCTTGCCCAAGGAAACCACACTGCTAAGTGAAAGCGCTTTCTCAAAACTACTCACACGGCTAAGAGATAAAAGCTGCTTGAAAATGACACGCATTGATGCAAGATGTGCCAAACCACTGACTCACCTCTCGCTCAAACGCCCCTCCTGGTCCCATGCTCCCTCTCTTCGCCCTCTTCACCGCCCACAACTCCTCATTTCGCTGCCCGTCTGCCTTCCCAGAAGCTGCTGCGTCCGTTCCTCTCCTACTTGCTGATGTGGCACCTGATGATCCAGAAACAGGAATCGCGGCTGCACGGTAGACTGTCCCAAACGCTCCCTCTCCTATCTTATTCTCCAGAGCGAACCCATCAGTTGCCCTGCTCAGCTGAGCAAAGGTGAAGCGGCGAGGAGCATCGGAGGGAGAAGAGGTCAGGGCCAGTGAGAGCTTGTTTCGGTTAACGTGATTGTTGTGCTGCTGAGGGCCAGACTCGGGGTCGGCATGAATTGTCCTGTTTCTAGCCCATGGCCACCAGTGCTGGCCCAGCTTCTCCCTCTGCATGGATTGTCCTGTATCTCTCTGCTTCTGCTGATGTCTCAGGCAGAGGAACACGGCTAGAAGAAGGAAGAGAGAAGAGAATACGCTGCCAACAACAACAATGGCCAACACACCCACTGACACTGCTCCAACACTACTGCTGCTGCCATTGCTGTCACTATCACTGCTCCTGCTGCTGTCAGTGCCGCCGCCGCTGCTGCTGGCCTCGCTCCTGCTGCTACTGCTGTTACCAGTGCTTAAATCGCCACCGTTTGTAGCGTTGATCCTACCTGTAAGACTATCACCGCCTGTGATGCTACTGCTAGCACTGAAATCGCTGGTGTTGTTATTGCCGCTGCTGCTATTGCTGGTACCATTACCCATGCTGCTGCTGCTCCCACCGCCACTAGAACCAGCCCCTATTCCTCTACCACTGCTGCTGTTTCTCCGGTTCCGAAGGTCTGCCACTCTGCTGCGAACATAGTCCCGGGGGAAGCACGGGCCTGAGATACACCCAGAACCACACATGATGGGAGCAAGGTCACAGGCAGCAGCGGTGCAGCACACAGGGGGTTGTAACCGAGGTCCCGTAGGGTTACCACCACCAGTGGTACCATCAGCAGTGGCACCATCAACAGCGTTAGCAGAACCAGCACCACTGGTACCAGTGGCGCTGTTGCTGGTAACCGTGTTACCAGCAGTTTCGCAGGGGCCGGAGAGGCAGTCAGTGAGGCAGGCGGAGCCGAGGCCACAGCCGAAGGAGGAGGAGCAGCAGAGGTAGGGTGGACAAGCCTGCTCTGCACAGTAGCGCAGCTGAAGTAGCGAGCGGGAGGAGTGGCGGAGGAGGGGGGCGTGGGAGGCATCACTGCTTCCAGTAGCAGCAGTAGAGGACGTTTGAATCAACGAGGAGGTGATGAGGCCGTTTTGAAAATTCCCGGTAATCTCATGGGAGGAGACCTGCGTGGAGAGGGTTCCTAGAACGCAGCAGGCCAGGACAGGCAGGAGAAGCTTGAGTGACTCCATTGCACTCGTTTGACCTTCGATTTACCCTTTTTCGGAGTGAAACAGTGCAGGTAGTGCATCACTGAAGCGGATCTCTGAAACTTAGCAGAGAGGTCTTTCTTAAAAAAGGGGAAGAACCAAAACGAGAAGTGAGACCACTTAAGCCGTGTTAAGCTCAAGAAAGGGAGTACGCCTGAGACAAGTTTCGAGTATTCAGCGCTCTTGCGCCACGGCTCGTCGCGTTTGAGGATGACTGCTGGTCACGCAGCTTAGGAGGATTGCGTCGCCATGGCTGATGTGTTTCCTCCCTTCTCGCTGCTTGCAGTCCTGCGAAGGTAACATGCGAGCGTCGAATCGATTTCGAGCTCGCATGAGTCGCACGTGTCGCCCAGTAGAACTGACGCGTCGCATGGTTCCGTCGCCTGACGGCATTTTCGAGGAGGAATCCCCGTAGCCGTCAGGTGGGAGAGTCAAGTGACGGCGGTAACGGAGTCTTCGCACGCTTGTCTTCGCCATGATTGGCTGGTTGAGCTTCAGTAGTCTTAACCGCTGTCCAGCCATGACAGGCATCACAGCCTGTGACAGCCATGTCAGAATGCAATGGATCCAGCCTGGCAGGGTGAAATCCGAGGCATAACCGACGATCGTTCTGACGGAAAGTGCACTATCTCTTCCCACTTGCTGCAGCAGCAGAGACCCATACGTGGATGTCACTAACGGATACTTGACAGACGGACCAGATTCGCGTGTTTCTGTGTGGATGGATGAGAATAATGCATTATGGTATGGGATGCAAATCCGCATTTCGCAATCTCACATATCAACCTGGAAATTGGGTGGTGGAGGCGGAGTTCTCGAGGTTGAGTGTGGCGAATTCTCGAGGTGCAGTGTCGCCAAGTTCTCGAATATCAGCAAGGATTGTTACCATGCGAACCGTCGTCACTCCCATCCTGCACTAAGGCAAAGAGGAAGCGTCGCGGGTACAGATGTCAAGCACCGATTTTGCCTGAATACGTGTTTTCGCTACTTCCTTTCGCATACATGCGAATCTGCTCGCTTCGGTAGCGAAACCCTCGCTGCAATCTACAAGCCTCTACAGTCCGCTTCTCTCCTTCCGCATTATCCGCCGTTCCACCCACCAAACAACCCTTCCCTTGCAGAAGTTTACAGAGTGGGACCACGTTAACCGCTGTCTACCGTGTGAAAAGAGTAGTGAACCGTACTGGACGGATCAGTAGTCACCAATTTCACCTTCCAAGTTCCAACGCCGATTTTATCACATCCATCCTGCTTTGCTTTCGTGAGCGAACGGCATTCACAGGCAAGCGACGGTGTTCATAAATTTAGTAGCTTGGCCCTCTTTTCCCCGTACTCGTCTGTATGGTAAGCCCGCATATCCCTCCTCACATAGTCGTCGTATTTGTGCCGTAATGCCGCCCACAGATGACGTCGCTATAACAGTCGCGTAGTGACTGAAAATACTGTTCGAATTCGCTTCGGCCTGAGAGTAAACCACCGTTTTTTCCTTAGGCCGTGAAGGGGAATCGCGCTGGGATTTCACGCCGCGTAGGGTTTCTTAAAGTTAACGCCGGGAATAAGTAGAAGTTGACTAGTCTGCTAAGAAATTCGATGCGCTGGCTCCGAAAGCGAAGTCCCGCACTGGGAAGGTTCGGGGAAGGGTCGGAAGAGTCCCTTCCCTTGTCATGGACGTGTATGTCAAGCTCCTTCGACGACCGTCGATCCGGTCGTTTCGGTTGGCTCTCAGCCGTGCGATGCAGTGGGGAGGATCCAAGGACGGGCAAACCTTGTTCCGTTACATTCTGTTGACTGTATTAGGGGTGATTCTTCTGAGATGGTGCTTTGGATGGCTGGCTCCGTTCCTACATTATAATGTATACTATAAGTCCGTCTCCATCAGAAATGTGAACAGGACTTTCATGACTGACACGTGTCAGAACCTCATGAAGTTGCCGTATCGGCCGTCCAATCCAGAATGGGGTAGGTTACTCACCCTCATAAAACTCCGCTCGCAGTTCTGACCTTGACAATCTGCATCACTTGCTGCGGCACTGCTTCTCCATCTCCCAACACTACAACTCTCCATGTTCCCCCATCAACCACCAACTCTCCACACCACTTCACCCCCCACGGCGTGAACACCCTGGTCTGCATCTCCGCCCACCACGTCAGCCCTCTCAACTTTCCCATCATCCACTGTTGAGAATCCTAATTCTTCTTACCCTCTCCCCTTGCAACGCCAGGTCGATTCTCTCCCCACGGCGTGAACACCTTTGTCTTCATCTCAGCCCACCGCGTCAGCCCTCTCGACTTCGCCGTCATTGGCCTTTCCGCCCGCGGGATGCGCTCCCAGTGGCGCTCACCCCGATCCAACGGTCCACATTCGTCCTCGGAGCAGGGAGGGGAGGAGGAGGATGAGAGCGGGGGGTGCGTGTGGGTGTCGTATGAGGGGCCGCACACCATCAAGGGCAGCTTGGAGTATCTGTTTCCCGGAGACCATGGGGGCATGCCTTATGAGACGATCGTCATCCGCTGCAACCTCGATAAGCCCACCCCAGCTGACCCTGGTGAGTCACTCTGGTGAGTAACTCATGCCAGCATGCCGTATGAGATGAGTCCATTGTGATTCGCTGCAACCTCGATAAACCTGCCCCAGCTGACCCTGGTAAGTCACTCTGGTACCCCAACCTTGCTGGTTCTCACCTGGTGACGTGGGCTGCACCATCCTTCCTCACCTTCTCTCCCCTCTTCGCACTCCACCTGCAGGCGGGGCTCTCTTCTACCACATCTCAGGGAGGGGCATGCTGGTGTACCGAGAGGAGTGCAGGGCTAGCATAACATTGCACCCTTGCTCGCTCCATACCTCGTCCCCTTACCCCGCTGCAGGCGGGGCTCTCTTCTACCACATCTCAGGGAGAGACATGCTGGTGTACCGAGAAGACGACCTCAGAACCCCTTCCTCTGCTTCTGCTGCTGCTGGTGCTGCTGTGGGTGAGGCGGAGGAAGAGAGGGAGTCTGCTGCCAAGCGGATTCTCAACCCGCCACGGCCGCTGCCACACCACATCTCCTTCTGCTCGCTGCTCATTGACCGGGAGGTGAGCGTTGCCTGCACAGCAACTGCAATGTATGGGGAAGGGAAGGTACAAAGGATTTTCACGGCCTTGCCTTAAGAACACGCTGCCACATACACGGCATCTCCTTCTGCCTGCTGCTCATTGACCGCGAGGTGATGGGTGTTCTTGGATACTCATCTGTTCCTTCCCTCCTCCTTGACTACCTTCCAACCCTCTCGCTCCTTGAGGGTTACGCGCATGCTCTCGCTCTTGTTCGTCCAACCCTCGTGCCCCTCCCACCCTCTCACAGCACACCCAGCGCGAGTGCTCGAGCACATGCAATACCTCCTGTTCTTCGGTGCAGATAACATTGATTTCCACACCATACCACCAACTCTTTCTCCCTTGCCATCCCTATCATTATCCTTCCCGCTCCCACCCACCTCTCTCACAGTACACCCCAGCACGAGCCCTCAAGCACATGCACATGCAGTAATGGTTTTTTTTCAAAACAGGCGATTTCATTTCACACCACACCGCCAAAACTCTCTCTCTCGCCTATCCCTCTCATCCGTATACCCCCTCCTACCCACCTTTCCTCTCACAGTACACGCCAGCGCGAGTGCTAGAGCACATGCAGTACCTGCTGTTCATCTTCTACGCACTCCCTTTCTGTCGACTGCTCGCCCATCCCTCTCACAGTACACCCCAGCGCGAGTGCTAGAGCACATGCAGTACCTGCTGTTCTTCGGAGCAGATGACTTTATATTCTACGATGGTGGGGGGTTCACAGATCGCTTACGGGATGCCGTGGCGAGGTTTACGGAAGCGGACATGCTGCAAGTGGTGGACCTGCGGGGACTAGCAGAGTAAGTCTGTTGACTCTGGTTGACTTTGGTTGACTCGGGTGTCTTGGGGTTCACAGATCGCTTACGGGATGCCGTGGCGAGG